ACTGCAAATAATTTATTACTATCGTGATGGGATTGTTACGAAAAAGGTAAATAACCATTCAAGTGGTATATATACTTCTAAAGAAAACATAATAATTATTTATAGACAGTTTAGTTAGTAATGAACGCTTCTGGGAAGAAAACATAATTTCACCTACAATTTTGTCTCTGATGTAAAAAGACACATCTGAACATTATTTTTGCAATTATAATGCAAATGATTCTATAATATTTTACAATGTGAAATATTAAGGGCAATATTATGATTTAGCATTTACGATATTAAAGATAGGAAAATATTTAAAGAATTACACATAAATCTTAAACGTGTATTGTTAAAACAAAAGTAGCTTATGACACTTAATAACATTGATTTCATTTTGTTAGATAACCTTAAACATCCAGTCACGTTGTATTTCGTTAACTTCAAAATCGATTCCCACTAAATGTTGGCTTTGTTTCCAGATTTTTATACTTCACAACAGCAGGTGTCTAGTGCTGTGTGGCAGCTGTAAAAGGTTGCCCCGTATTTCACTTCAGTGTTGTTATATTATTCTGTTCCTTAGGGATCAATGATGCCAGCAGTATTAAGTGTTGAGAATTGAGTACCGCTCAAGCCGGTGCTAGGGGGCATAAGGGATGTTGCACATGTTCATTATCCCTCATGTACGGACTCAATCAAATCGAGTCTGCAATTCTTTTGTAATTTTGTTGTGATAAATGCTTTCGAGGGATCACTTTGTTTCCAGATTTTTCTAATAAATATTTATTTCATTATTATAACTTTTTATTAACTAAAAAAATTATAAATGTTACAAAACAACAATTTGTCACCAAAATTAGGTAAAACACCACATGTTAACATGGAAAAACTAGATTTTGGGTGATTCCAAGGTTTTTCATCATTTTTTGTTAACCTTTTCCCTTATATAAGCGTGTTTTGACGGCTTTTTGCCCCCCCCTTTTTTTGAGGCCTCAAACAGTGAAAAAATGCCCTATTTAGGCCCCAAACACTGTCTTTTGTTTGAGAAATGTTGTTAAAAAAAGTGACCATTTTTTCGGCGCCGTCCCCCATCCAAATATTACATCAGGAGGTTGCCAGAAGGGGGATGTGCCCCCTTCTGTTTGGGGGGTTTGAAGGGGGGCGGAGTCCCCCTCATCGCCAAGAAAATTTTGGACTTGTGAGAGGCTTAAAATGACCCCAGGTCGATCATAAGGTAACGTGTAACCAACGCTGAAAAGCCTTTGACTCTATCTCAATCCCTTGAGAAGTTGCAGCACTTTGAAATAAATTATGATGGAAAAAATTGATTTTTGGCAATTTTGAGATGTCCCCTCGTTGCCATGGTAACAGGAAATTAAAGACTGAGCATGTCGTTACAAAGGCAATGGTCCAGTCAACATTTGTGCCAAGTTTGATAAGTATTGAAGCATTTTTCATAGTTTCATAGCAGTTTGAACTTGTAACAGGAGGCTTTTCAGTGAAAATGGCCATTTTTCACAATATGCTCATGGGGGAAAGGGTTAACAAGTTTTTTTAAATTTGTTTATAATTCATTTGTTAGTAATACTTTTATAATTATGTTTAAACAGTATGTCAGACTCATTATTGATGAAGAGGGGTAATAAATATAACAATTTATATGGACAGTGCAACAGAACTTGTAATTGAAATTATTTTAGTATTTAATTAATGCTAATTTACCGTCTGCAAATGTTAGCATGGTCATAATCGATGATATTGTTGTCTGTCCAATGAGCTAAGCAATAAGATTTTCTTTTAAAGATATACTATGCCCATCATTAAGTAAAATATTTTAATTACAGAAATATATTCGAATCAATAATATTCTTAATTCAATAAAAGAATGAAAATAATATGTATGAAAAGGTGTGTTCGCTATTACAGGTCAACTAAACGTAGTATTTTCCAAACAAAAACAAACCAAAAAATTGCCAGTTTAAAAAAACAAAAAACTATACATGTTGTGGCCACATTGTGTTTAGGATTTTAAACATAACAAATCCGCTATATGTGAAGTTAAAACATGTTTTGCTTGTATTAACAAAGATACTGTGTTGCAGTTATCAATGTTTTCTAATATCAAGTTTGAGCATAGTATAACTTTAAGCACAGTGTAGTTTAATCAACAAACACTATGTTTTTAAAACACCGTAGTACTATATGGAATTCTTAATGTATGTCATCAAATAACAGATAATATAATGGAACTTTTATTTTTTCTTGTTACTTGATACTTCAATTACTACCAAGGTATTTGCAATTCATTTCATAATGATCCAAGGAATACAAAAGATTGATAAAAGCTTTTTAAATACACAGCTCAGTGAATAATGCTTTTAAATTATATCATAAATAAAACATTTATACCATATATAAGATATAATGAAAATTTACGCATATTTGTGCAAAAAGGAACGTTAAGTTAATATTCAATCGGAACGAAATTGTTCCTTTTTAACTTATTGAAAAATATGATCAGAAAGGAATGGTTATATTACGTAATACCGTAACAATTTCTTAATAACAGAACGCGTGAATAAAGAATGGTAATTATTTCTAGGCTATGACAAAATGGTTAACATCGTAAATGAAATATATATTATTAACTAACTCCAATTTCTTCATAATTTCATGTTATTTACATAAATCATTGGCGCGTTTTGTCTACAGTGTACTACGCCGTACTTCATTCAATCATGTCTGGTTCTTTGTTGAGTTTTTTTTTATTCTAACTTTAAATGTTTGCATATGTGAAAATTTGTGTATATTTTGATATTTTATTGATACTAAATACTTTATAGTTTGTAAAAGAATATTCAGTGCTCGAACCTTCAACAATGGCAGTCAGTGAAATAATTAAATATTGCAAATTTAATACCTAAATATTGTGTAATTAAAACCTAAAATTCATGTTCTAAAACCCTAGTTCTGTTCAATATATCATGCATGTATATCCGTTTGACAGAAGTCTGTTCCGGAAATTGAAACGAAATAGAATAGAATATATATCCAAATAGATTCAATTACAAAGGAAATGTTATAGCCAGTGCGATGATAGAAAATTAAAAGATAATTCACATTATGTCAGAAAATGTCGAGATGTCGACCTGATTGCTCATGCTACAGATAAATGCAAACGAACACGTTCACCAAATTTTACGAAGAGTGACGTTATTTACTCTTTTGTGTCTTAGTCATGTTTTATTAGCTCGACTATTCGATAAGAATAAGTAGAGCTATTGTAGTCACCCGAGCGTCGGCGTCGGCGTAACCACTTATGTTAAAGTTTTTGTAATAGTTTAAATATTTTCAAAGTCCATTGACATATGGCTTTGAAACTTTGCACACTTGTTCACCATCATGACCCCAACCTGTAGACAGTAAGAGGTAACTCTATCAAGCATTTTAACAGAATTATGCCCCTTTTTCGACTTAGAATTTACGTTAAAGTTTTGGTAATAGTTTAAATATTTTCAAAGTCCATTGACATATGGCTTTGAAACTTTGCACACTTGTTCACCATCATGACCACAACCTGTAGACAGTAAGGGGTAACTTTCAAGCATTTTAACAGAATTATGCCCCTTTTTCGACTTAGAATTTACGTTAAAGTTTTGGTAATAGTTTAAATATTTTCAAAGTCCATTGACATATGGCTTTGAAACTTTGCACACTTGTTCACCATCATGACCCCAACCTGTAGACAGTAAGAGGTAACTCTATCAAGCATTTTGACAGAATTATGCCCCTTTTTCGACTTAGAATTTATGTTAAATTTTTGGTAATAGTTTAAATATTTTCAAAGTCCATTGACATATGGCTTTGAAACTTTGCACACTTGTTCACCATCATGACCCCAACCTGTAGACAGTAAGAGGTAACTCTATCAAGCATTTTGACAGAATTATCCTCATTTTCATTCAGTTCTCATTTTTTATTTTCCATTTCTGTTAAATTTATCAAATAAAACCAAATTTCAGAAATCAACCTTTCGCTGTACGTAAGTAAGTGAAGCTGTTTTATGGTACTGGATCGTTTCTTGCATGTGAATCAACTTAACTCAATATGTTCAGATCATCTAGAATACAACGTCTTATGACATACTAATTTCACTTCACCTTTCAGAAATATTTAATGTAACATTCACTTTCCATGAAAAGGACAATCAAGGTTCAGCTGCTGAATACAAACATCATTTTTTATATTTGTAACATATCCATTGTAATATAGATTCACGAATAACAATCAATTTCTGTTTTGTAATTTTCAGATTGGTTGCCTAGCTATTAGCATTGACATATCAATGAACACCTTCAACTTTTGCATCACTAAAATGTCACAACATTGCATGCTACATATTGGTTTATGTACTTATAATTAACATTATTTTACTACTAGGGCACCTTTGCAAACGTCCAACATTACACAATATTCAATAGCATATATAGTAAGTGATTTTCAGTTTTATTGTAATATTCATCCATATTCATAAAATTATATTAATTATTTTTTTCAATTGAGTTTTTTTCTCTATAATATTGATGCATACCTTCCAAATTGACATCAATGCTTGATGTAATTAATGTGTTACCATAATAATACTGTTTGTGAAATTTTTGTAATGTCAAACACACATCACCATTTTTTTTTAAACTATTTGCATTGCTGTTCTACTAAAATTGTGTTAAAAACATTTAAAATATTTCTCTATTCCTTTCATTTTACACAGGATATTCACCTCTCTAGGGTAACACGGCTTATTATATAATGGCAACATTATGATATGACATATGTAAAATCTAAAGTTGAGCAACTCACAACAAACAACAAATGTCGTTTTTTGTAAAGTATGTAAACAAATCTTTCATCTGTACAGCGTTTAAAAACAATTTGTGGGAAAACAATGACCAGCTGCAGGCATTCCAAAGAATAATTTATGTCAATAAATCAACTTAAAATCACAAGTGTCTTTGTTGCAAATCATGTGGCAAAATATTAAGCAGCTTTCAGAGACTTGCTTCTCATACATGTGAACTTAAAAAATATGACACAAAAGAAATGAACAACAATACAGTGAAGAAATCACGTGAAAAAGATGACAAAAAGAACACAGATAAAGTGAATACATTGGACAAAAAAACATACGAAAAAAATGAAAATCAACAAACTCATGCATCTTCACACACATCACAATCATGTGTAATAATTGGAGGGACTCAAACAAAACCATTATTTGTTCCTATAAGAGCCGATTGGCAGAGAAATGCAGCTTTGCACTACAACCTTAATGGAAAAATTTCATTTGACAGAAACTTTATCAGTCAAGAGTTGGATGCACCATCCAGAATTCAGCCAATTATTGGAGATGGAAATTGTTTTTTTCGTTGTATCTCTTACATTGTCAGCGGATGGGAAAAACATTTTCATTTCTTCAGGTCAAAGTTAATACAACATATGCAATTGATTAGCCAGCTTTGTACACCTCTTCTTAACAGAAATGAAGATGTTGATCAGTATATTGCCAGAACAAAGATGGCCACAAACAACACATGGGCTACACAGACTGAAATTTTTGTCATGTCACACCTTCTGAAAACAGACATATTCATTTACACAAATTCTGGAAATAACTACCAGTGGTTGAGACATTCAGGGCAATTCTTAGACAGAAATATGGTTGTTCATAATCAGTGTATCTATTTGAATCATCATAATAGAAACCATTATGAGGTGGTTTTGGAAGTAGCAAAAAATTCTATACCAGAAAATTTTCAAAAGGAAACAATATACAAAGAATTGCAAAACCAATCGAATAAAGCACAACAACATTTACAAAGTGGGACCCAGACTCTAATTTATACTGAACAGAAGACAAATATTGATATTGAAAACTGTGACAAACAAACAAATATTTCTAAACAAGAAAAGAACCGCTTAAAGGTACTAAAATGGAGAAACCAAGGTAATAATAGAAAAGAGGAAAACAAAAGAAAAAGAAACAATTCCACCAATAGAGGCAGAAAAAGAAATAAAACAAAAGAAAAGAAGCTCACAAGAAGCAAGAGATGAGGAAAACAGAAGAAAGAGAAACAGTTCTGCCAATAGAGAGAAAAAAAAGGAAAGGAAACATTAGAAAAGACAATCACAAGAAGCAAGAGATGAGGAAAACAAAAGAAAGAGAAACAGATCTGACAATAGAGAGAAAGAAAAAAAATTAAACAACTGAAAAGAAGCTCACAAGAAGCAAGAGATGAGGAAAGCAGAAGAAAGAGAAACAGTTCTGCCAATAGAGAGAAAGAAAAAATAAAATAAACAACAGAAAAGAAGCTCACAAGAAGCTAGAGATGAAGAAAACAGAAGAAAGAGGAACAGTTCTGCCAATAGAGAAGCAGAAAAAGAAATAAAACATCAGAAAAGAAGCTCACAAGAAGCAAGAGATGAGGAAAACAAAAGAAAGAGAAACAGTTCTGCCAATAGAGAGAAAGAAAACAAAATGAAACAACTGAAAAGAAGCTCACAAGAAGCAAGAGATGAGGAAAGCAGAAGAAAGAGAAACAGATCTGACAGTAGAGAGAAAGAAAAAAAAACTGAAAAGAAGCTCACAAGAAGCAAGAGATGAGGAAAACAGAAGAAAGAGAAACAGTTCTGCCAATAGAGAGAAAGAAAAGAAAAAAAACATCAGAAAAGAAGCTCACAAGAAGCAAGAGACAAGGAAAACCAAAAGAAACACACAATTAACAACAGATACAAAGAAAAGGAGCACAAGCATTTGATAAGATCTTGTACTGAAGCAAGGCAAGGAGAGAAAGATAGGAAACAAGCTAAAAAGAATATTGTGGATGCAGGGGCATTGATAAAAAATTTCCATGATTTAGTTGAAAAAGGTCCATGCTATGTTTGCACCTGCTGTGACCAATTGTGGTATCGAGAAAGTGTCTCTGAAGCATACACTGCTCATTGCTCGAATTCAGATCTAAAATTGAAAGTTTTTACGAATGTTCTCTCTGAACAAAATAAAGAATGGCTTTGTCACACTTGCCTTAATTATATAAAGAAAGAAAAGCTTCCACCACTTGCTAAGAATAATATGATGAAGTTCCCTCAAAAGCCACCATGCTTAAACCTTACCCAGTTAGAGGAGCTTCTATCTCTCCAAGAATACCATTTATGCAGTTACGTGAACTTCCCAGGGTTGGACAAGTCAGCATAAATGGTAATGTGGTTAATGTGCCAGCAAATATGACCTCAACAGTTTTAAATTTACCAAGGACTCTGTCAAATGATGCATGTATTCCTTTACAACTGAAGAGAAGGCTCTCTTATAAACATCATGTTCAACAGGAAATGATACGTCCAAACTTTGTCATGGATGCATTGAAGTACCTTGTGCAAAATAGCCCCCTATTTAAAGAAGAAGGTGTCACATTGGATGAAAATTGGACGTTAGATCAGGATCCTAATCAGGACCATTCAGTTCTTGCAACAAATTCATCCAACAAATCTGAAATTAAAAATTCACCAGCAAACTCTGACGAAATACCAGAAGATAAATGGGATTAGACAGGTATAGAGGAACAGGCAGTTGGTAATCTGGATACCATGATGCATCCTATTGAGGTTTCACACGACGAAAGTCAAGTTCTTGTTTTTGCTCCCTGTGAAGGAAATACTCCTATTAACATATTTATGGACAAATATTCGGAAGAATTATCCTTCCCAACAATTTTCTGTGGATATAAAAGACCATCACCAAAAGAACGTTTAGTTCGAGTGTATGTCTCGGAAGTTTACAAATCTGAACTTCGCCCAAAAGACAGGTGAGTTGCATCGCATATTCCAAATTTGTTCTTCAAGGTAAAAAAAACTCCAGGCACAACATGTTTCAGAAAAATCAAATTTATGGATGCGTAAAGCCATTAATACCAAAGGCATCAATGCTGGTTACTTAAAGGATGCCGAAAATATTCAAAAGATATGTCATTTGGATGAAGGCTATAGAGTATTTAAAGACCTAAGAGGATCTCCACCCTATTGGAGGATAAACCAAGAAAGATCTTTTCGCCATGATACGATGCTTGGGTATACCAACATGGTTTGCCTCATTTTCTTCTGCTGAAACAAGGTGGACACATCTTTTGAAAATTCTATCAAAAACTGTTGATGGCCAAACTTTGTCAGACAAGGATGTAGAAGAAATGGACTGGTTCCAGAAATGTAACCTCATTCGTAAAGATCCAGTAACATGTGCTAGACATTTTCAGCACCAAGTTCAAAAGTTTATTGGTCAAGTTTTGTTGTCAGCGGCATCACCTGTAGGGAAAGTGACAGACTATTTCTACAAAGTAGAGTTCCAGATGCGTGGCTTCCCACATATTCATATGTTGATGTGGGAAGAAGATTCTCCAAAGCTGAAGGAAAACAATGAGAATGAGGCAGAAATCATCAGCTATGTAGATTCCTACATCACTGTAACCAAAAATCCAGAAATAGGACAACTAGTGAAACTATAGGAACATTCTCATAGTAGAACATGTAGGAAAAAGAATCAGGAAATATGTCGATTTACATTTTCATTGCCACCATTACCCGAGACACTCATTCTTACTCCCCTGGATACGAACATTGACAGTAGCACTAAACAAAAACATTGTGAAAATTGGAAAAAAATTGGAAAAATGATCAACTCGCTCAAAAAAGGAGAATCTATGGAGTTTGAGGCCTTTCTACTTAAACTTGATATGTCATATGAAGATAACATTTTGGCGATTCGGACATCTATATCAACAAATAAAATTTTCATGGAAAGGAAAGTTGATGAAGCAAGAATTAACAGCTACAACAAAACTCTTCTTCAATGTTGGAGAGCCAACATGGACCTTCAATTTGTGATAGATCCTTATGCATGTGCAATGTACATAGTGACATATATTGCCAAAAGCCAAAGAGGGATCAGTAACCTATTGTATGCTGCAACAAAAGAAGCCAGAGAAGGCAATGAAACTTTGAGGAAGCAGGTTAGAGCTATAGGGCATCAAATTTTAACACATGTGGAACTTTCGGCACAAGAAGCTGTTTACTACATCCTCAAAATGCCATTGAAGAAATCTTCACGCCAAGTTATCTTCATAAATACTTCACCAAAAGATGAGAGATGTGTACTTTTGAAAAGCTTCAGTTGTATTCAACAACTATCAAATGACTCTCAAGAAATTCAGGCTATTATTATTCACCAAAGATATGCTGCAAGGCCGAAATCAATGGAACACATTTGTCTGGCAGACTTTGTGTCAAAGTATAAAGTATGCTACACACAAAAATCAAGACACAAAAATGAAGACTCTGAAGATAGTGACATTGATTCGGAAGATGAAGAAAGCACTACATTTAAATGCCTCGGAGCAACTATCAAGAAACGAAAAATTTCTGCATGCATCAGATATGTCAGGTTCCAAGAAATTGATGATAAAGAGAACTACTTTCGTGAAATCATTTTGCTGTTTCATCCTTGGAGAGACGAGTCACAATTGATTGGCAAAAGTGAAACATTCACAGAACAGTATAGAGTTTTGTCAAAAGAATTTGATATAAAATCAAATATGGATGAGTACAACCATAAATATCCTCTTCTCTTTTAGATGCCAAAAATACAACGGAGGAAATTTTGGAGGAGCAGTGGAATTCTTACGCTCCCACACGATCCGAGGATAAAGAAGATGAAGATATTGGTGTTGGAGCAGATGTCTATCCAGAACTCTGTCTTCCAGATTTGAATGTACCTGATGAGGAATCAGGAAAAGTAGAAATTAACACATGTGATAGTTTGATCAATTATATGAAAACTGACGAATATCTACATCTTATCAGATCATTAAACGAGCAACAAGAAGATTTTTCCTGCACATTCTTCATCATTTCAAGACATCTACAGAACCACTATACCAGTTTCTTACTGGTGGAGCTAAAGTTGGGAAATCAGTCTTGGTTCATGCAATATATCAAGCTTTGACTAGATACTTCAATAGTACTCCAGGTACAAATCCAGATGAACCCAAGGTATTGTTGGCAGCTCCAACCGGTAAAGCAGCTCACTTGATTAAAGGAAATACATTACATTCACTTTTTAAGATTCCAGCAAATCAAGGATACCAATACAAACCATTAGTAAGTGAAAAGCTGAATACACTTAGATGTGAATTCAAACATGTCAACTTACTTATCATTGACGAGATTTCCATGGTAGGAAATAAGATGTTTTCATTTATTCACCAGAGGTTACAACAGATAAAAGGTTCAAACAAATTGTTTGGAGTCATCTTCCAGATACGTGCTGTTAGGATGCTTTTCAACTATAAACCTGATTTTTGATTTTATTGGTATTTGAAATTTATACAAAGGTATGGACTGTTGGCTCTACAATCTATGAGGGAAAATTCAAAATATATGAGACTTACTTGTAAATAATGAGACAAAGAGATTCGGGAATTTGCCAGAACTTGTTTAAATAGGTAGAGAATGTAAACACACAACTGAGACTATACAATTCCATCTTACAAGGAAATTAATTACAGATCAGATGCATTCCGAAGTACTCTATTATTTAACCCTTCACATATTATATGAGAAATGCAGAGGTAGACACCACAAACAAGTAGATCAGTGAAAGTACATGTCGGGTATTTGAAAATCCAAAGCAAAGATTTGTCTTAGAATGTCACACTATCAGTGAAAACGAGAATTTTAATTTCCATACCAAATGACTCTTCAAAGACTATGCGCCTTTTAAAAGAACTTAAGACAGCCATTGGTTTGCGAAATGAACTATCCTGCAACATTGATGTGGAAGATGGTATGACAAATGGGGCAGCATTTGTACTTAAAGGAACTGGACCCATAGACAAAAAAGGAAATTTACATTATGTTTGGGCAAGATTTGAAGATGATGGTGTTGGAAAGCTCACACGAAACCGAAACAGAAACCTGTATACAGAAAATATAGATAAGATGTGGACAGCAATTTTTAAAGTGAAACGGCAGTTTCCAGTGGGACGTTACAAATCCGCATGTGTGTTAAAACATCAATTTCCTATCAGGTGTGCAGCAGCAAAAACCACACATAGGTGTCAGGGAGACACAATGAAAACTGCTGTTGTTGGGTTTTATAGGAAAGACCTTTCCACACTCTCATTATGTAGCCTTAAGTAGGGTAACTACACCAGAACAATTATTCATCAGAAATCTAAATGAGAGTAGAATTAGAGTGGATGATAGAGTACAGCATGAAATGGAAAGACTAAGACAGGATATAGAATCTCCAATATTTACCAGTAACCTTCAGTTATCAAATTCAGTAAACATTCTGTTCCAGAATGTTAGGTCCTTACACATGCATATCAAAGATATTCAAAATAGCTTCATTTATAAACTTTCAAACTTAATGCTGTTTGTGGAAACAAAGCTGAAGGCAGCTGACAAAAATGAGCAGTTGTTGATTCCTGGTTACCATTTACACAGATTTGACTTTCCTGCTGGTGCTAGAGCAACATATGGAATTGTTGTGTACTCCAAAGATACAATTCCTGATTTTAATTTCACATACAACAGTTTCCATACATCACCTGGAGTTATTGAAATGGTCAGCATTCGTCTAGGAAATATTTTACCATCATTATGTGAAAATATATCAGTACATGCTATCTATATTTCACCTAAAGTTAAAAAAGAGGCAGTTAAAGCCTACATAGAGCAGGAAATCAAACAAACAAATCATGGTTGGAGACTTCATTGAAGACTTGCTTAAGAATTCTCCGGACAACTATATTGGTCAAACTCTCTGCTGCAAACAGCTGGTTACTACTGCGACCACAGACAACCAAACATTGATTGACCATATATATGTAACTGATCCCTTACAAGATTTATCATCTGCTTATGTTTTGGAGTCCTATTTCTCAGATCATAAACCACTTCTGCTACAGCTGAGAAAGAACTATTAATGAATTTCCATTGTTATATTTGAACATTTTGAACAATTATAATTGTAATTTGATATGTAGTTTGCCTGAATATTGTGACTGTTGATAAAGATTTTTATTACTCCAATTCAAAGTTGTCCATATTGCAATATGTGTAAAAAAATGTTTATTCTATATTTGAGAATGTTCATATCAAAATGAAGCAAAACATGAGCTATTGAAACATTTTGACTGTGGTATTTACAACAACATTGACAGCCAAGGAAGTGACTAACAGTCAATTGTAAGATTTAGAAAGCATAACCAAAAGTAAATGCCACATCCACCATGAATTACTATGAGGAATTTGGTTGACTGAACTCATACCACATATCCTCCAGACTAGGTATATACATATATATGGTATAGGTATATACATATATATAATATACTCTACCCAACTTCTAAGCTAAGCACCTTAAGTTAATTTTTATATTATCACAAGTATATAACAAATTTCTTTCAAATTTTTTAAAATTCTGATTCAGCAATTATTTCATATAGTCCCATGACACGAATCTGTGTTGACTTATCTGTTTAAGCTCGTCTAGATAGCATGGAACGCTTGCATCCCAATATTTTCATATTTTTAGAGGAGTGTACAATCACATCTATTGTTATACAGTGACATTATCGGCTTATTTTCATTCAGTGGCTTACATTTTTTGATATGACGAAAGCTAACATTAGGCAGCATTTAAGAGAAGCAGAGTTATGGAGGGCTGTTGGGATAGTGCAGCAGTGGGCCACCTTCCGGGAGGTTGGTGCAAAGCTTGGTGTACACCACACCGTCATCACCAGAGACTGGGAGAGATACCGGCTACATGGTACACCCTTCAGGAGTCATGCTGGAGGTCAGCAAAGGGTCACAACACAAGTTAAAGATAAGATTTTCGTTGTGCAAGGTTTTTAACAGCAATTCTCTCCGAAATGATCTTGCTAATGCTGCAGGGGTTGTTGTTTCCATGCAGACGGTAAATAAACGGCTGCATGAAGGTAATTTGCGGTCGAGAAAACTTTGCATATGAATTCAAAGATGAGACCGATTTGTACCAACAAGTAATGAAGGAACAGCAATATGATTCAATACAACTATAGACACTACCAGCAACTGTTGATAAAAAGTTGAAGAAATATGTTTGTAAAATGATCTGCATCGTTAGTTACTAGGTAAATTTTTACTCATTATTAGTACGTCTTTTTTTCATCTAATATAGTACAATGTTTTAAATGGTATCCACACCGTACATGATTAATTCTTAATACTTTATTTTACAATTCTTTCAACAATGCCCCCCCCTATGGCCATCTCATTTGGCAAAATATTTCCCAAATCAGTAGCACTATGTTTCATGATAACCAATAAGCATACCAACATTTGCCATAAACTGAACAACGATTGTCAACACTCTTCCTCCAAATACATACTGTAAATCATAATATTGTGTGAAAATCAGTGGTTGTCAAAGTTCAAACATTTTAAATCTCAAAAAACAATTAAAAACTTCATATAATCATAAGATAAGATCCATGAATTCATTTCTAATCTGTTTCAAAACTTTGATTGAAACAAACTAATCAAATAGTACCGACGAAATACAATGATTTCACACGACACAAGGGTTATGTGATGTAACTTTTATGAAGTGTTGTTTTTTATCATTATAAATGTTCATTTTCTATTTTCAGATCATAGAAGATGGACAATAAACACATTGAAACCATTCGTGGCCTTGAACTTAAACTATTAGGAATAAACTACAAAATAAAAAATAATGCAACCAAGGAACACATTGAGAAGGAAGTAATTCCAGACATCGAAAGGGTTGCTAGGGTGGCTAAAAGCACGGCAAACACAATTGAAACACAAAATGGACAAACAAGGCAAGAACTCCAAAGTTTAAGAAAAGAAATGGGAAAAATGAAAACAAAACATGACAATTTGTGCAATAGGTTAGGCCTTCCTGAGAGGAAAACAGCAAAACTTGAATTGGAGAATACTAAATTGCAAATTGAAAAAGATAAAGTGTTAAATGATAATAACCGCCTTAGAAAAATAAATCACAACCTGATGGAGAAGCTGAAAGAAGCGTTTAAGGAAGAAATTGAAGCCTCCCAGGTAGAGCTGTCATCGATAGAAGCGATATCGATGTATCATTGATATTTTTTTGTCGATCGATTATCGATTTAAAATTTAAAAAATCGATACTTTCATTAAGTATTAGAAGGTCTAGGAATGACGAAAATTTACTCGAAACATAAACGGAAACAGGTGCCCTGTCAAAAGGACATGTCTAAAACTATGCCGTCGCTAATTTAATGCCCAAATTAATGGACAACTACTATATGGTGGCTGTACTCGAACTTCGGAATCCAACACATTTGTTTGTGTTAAAAATGAAATCATTATAATTTATATAAACAAGACAAACAAATTTTTTATATAATATTTTAAAATAAAAACCCGATAGTACTAAATCAACTGTCCTTTGATCTGAAGGTCATCATTCATTAATGTCTACATTTTAGTCTGTACCCATTTCTTAGCAACCGGTAAAAATGGCCGACAACATAAAAATTGTAGACAAAAAGAAAGCAAAAAATGCCAAGCAAAGTCCCGTATGGGAACATTTTGGATTCGTTGAAGACAAGGGGGTGGTCAACCCAAAACTAGTCGCATGTAAGATTTGCCGTTTGACAATGCCATTTAGCGGCAATACAACAAATCTGAGAGCCCATCTTGACCGTAAACATTGGGATAAGGTGAAACATCTATCAACTACGCCGGTGCCAGCACCAAATGTAAGTTTATATTAACACCGAAAAATCAGTAGTACTTAACAATAAAATAATTTACAATCTTTAATCTTACATGTATAATTCCTAACATTTGCAAAATAAAATAAATAAATAAATATATAAATAAATATAGATCTAGCCCTATGTAAAAATTTAATAATAAAAATGAATAATTATTCTTACTTCTAAGTTTATCAAGTAAAAATGTAACAATGGTTTGACAAAATCCTTGTTCTGTATGGACAGTTAAATTACCAAAACAGTAATAAAAATTATAAAATATAAACTAGTATTACTATTACAATTCCTATTTACCTATACATAGGCCTATAGTTATTTGCATTTATATTTTCAGAATCAAATTGCTGTGCAGCCTTCACAGAGTGTGTCCAAGAGTGATCCCCCACTTCCATCAATGACCATAAGTCCACAGCCAGACCTTGGTGAAACATCACAACGAACAGTTTCATATTTATTTGAAAAACAAAGAGCTTTTCCCATAGCTTCCACTAGAGCCGTTACAGTATCACAAGCTATAGCAGAGTTTCTAATATTAGATATGAAACCTCTTAGTACAGTAGAGGGGGAAGGTTTCAAAAATTTACTTAAGGTTTTGGAGCCACGTTATTCTACAGTGTCCAGAAACCATATTCTGGAAAAGTACATTGTACCAATGTACCACAGAACATTTGAGACAGTTAAACTTGAACTTTCAAACGGGCTTCGCCATGCCTTTACCACAGATGGGTGGACATCTATTTCAACAGAAAGTTTCATTACCACAACTTGTCATTTTATTTCACCTGAAACATATCAACTCCAGTCCAGAGTCCTAGATACTAAATTTTGTCCTGTGAGTCACACAGCTGAGAATTTGGCTTCTGAAATGTTGCATACTATTGAAAAATGGGGATTAAAGGATCCTGTATCTGTAACAGATAATGCAGCTAATATAGTGAAAGCTTGTGAGGTTGCCAATTTGCCCCACATTGGCTGCTTTGGACATATTTTGAACCTTGCTGTGAATCGATGTTTATCTGTAACAGAAGTAAATGCACTAATTGGTAAATGTAGAAAGTTGGTTTCCGTATTCAAACAAAGTTCTTTGAAAACAACCGCGTTACATGTTGCAGAAGCAAATCTTGATCTTAAACAACTGCAAGTACTCCAGGACGTTGAGACGAGATGGAATTCAGCTCTGTTTATGGTCAAACGTCTTCTTGAAATTCTGCCAGCAATATGGGCTGTGTTATACAAAGATAAAAAACATGGACATTTACTTCCATCTGATTCTGATAGAAAGAATATGGAGGATCTCAAGGATTTACTTGAACCCGTTGAAGAGGCAACCAAGAAGGTTTCAGCAGAAAAATCCAGTACAGTAAGTTTGATTCTGCCAACACTACAACGTTTCGTCAATCATGACTTTGTTCCTAAGCCCACTGACAGCTCATTAATTGTAAAAGCCAAAACTGCCATACGTAATGACTTAACTAAAAGGTATTTGAAAGATGATGAGCAGTTATTGCTTGCAACAGCTACTACCCTTGACCCTAGATTCAAAAAACTTAAGTGGTTTGAGCCAGAAAAGAGACAAGAAGTATATCAACTGTTGAAGGAGGCTATGATAAAAGAGGTGCGTGAATCAACATTAAGTTCTGTTCAAATAAAAACTGAGCAAGAACTGCCAAGTCAGGTAAAAGACGACATCTGTGACATAAATGAAAACAGCCCAGAGAAAAAGAGACCCAAACAGGAAGACAGTGAAATAGCAGAATCAACAAAGAGTGATGCAACTGATGCTGATTTTTTTGATGTGTTATTTGTCAAAGAAGAGAAACCAGAAGTTACACAGGCAGATATCGTTATGAAAGAGTTCAATGGCTATATGGAGGATGAAGCGGTTTCATTCAAGCAAGATCCTATTGAATGGTGGTGCGGACATAGGGAGAAGTATCCTGTTCTTGCACAGATTGCGCTACAATACTTACATATACCAGCTACAAGTGTACCATCTGAAAGGGTGTTCTCCACAACCGGGAATATACTTACCAAGAAGAGATCATCTTTAACAGCAGACAATACAGATATGATGGTGTTCCTATATCATAATTATCACAGAATTAAGAAGGCTTAAAATAGTTGTTTATTGTTTTGAGTTGTCTGCAACCAGTTAAAGTGTTGTTGTTAACATGCTTCATGTGCTCTAAAAAGTTATACTCATGAAAGATTAATTTCAGGTTTTGACTTATTTACCAATGAATGCCATGGTTTGGTTTATTTGAACAACTGTAATTACTGTATTTTTGTATCCACTGTGTTCTAGTATCAAGACTTTATGACTACCTACAGTACCTACTTACAAAACTCATGTACCAGTTTGATGTTATTTCTGTAAAATTTATGTGTTTTTTTTTCTACTCTAGTCAAGTAAACTAGTCATTCTTGTTAATATTCAGTTAAGTTTGAACTCAGTTTTGTCAAGTGAACTAGTGATTGCATATTGTGACTTTAGTCACTGAAGAGGTTTGCTTGGTGTAATGGTGTATGTGAATAGCGGCCAGTAAATAAATAACCACATTTAAATTCTATACACAGTTTTGTATTTATTTGATAATTTACATATTTCATAGCACTTATATGCAAAATGTGATCAGAGAAAAACATGCAGAGGACATTTATAAACAAAACACAATATAAGTTCATGTACATAAGGTGTTTTTTTACTGAAAACAAACAGATATGTATGAAAATGAATTACAGATAAATGATATATTGATATATCGGTGAATCGTCGATATTTGTGATCCGATATCGATATATCGACGATATGCCTTTGGCTGAATCAATGACAGCTCTACTCCCAGGATATATTTGCAGATTCAGATTCAGATTTCAAGGAAGAAGATAATGGAAACCCAACGCAACCTTGTTCTTCGACTGATAACAAAAAATGTGATGACAACAACAACACCAATTCTGCCTAACAATAGCCATGTCACTATAAAAAACTGAGCCATGTCCTGTATAACAATATAACACTTTATTGAAATCCCTGCATCATTTTTTATTTTCAGTGCCTTTATTTCCATTAAACTGCATATGAAATTGATACACATACACACTTTGTAGACAATTTTTGCAGTAACATAAATGAGTGAATTACCATCATCATTTTGTGATGACCCTCTTATGGTTATTATACTTGGATTCTTTTTTGGCATAAACACTGATATAGAAAACCATTTGACATCTTCATTGTTACATTCAGTTGCCCGTCTGATTTATTCTTTCTGCATGATCAGTTATTTACTTTGAAACATATATGTTTTGTTAAATGTAAACCATGTGTAAAATATCTGATCTTTCTTACAATATCATAGAATTATTATATGACCATATGAATAATGTGAAATTTAATAAATTTCAGATGCTCTTTGACTGATTGATGTAAGTCAATTGTTTTACAGGTGATGGATTGAATTTGTCACTTATTTGTTTACTTCTAGTATTAAACAATACTTTTCGTTTTTTTCTAGATGCACATCAACAGATGTAGACTTACTTCAAATATGTAACTCACTGTTAGCATGTTTGGATTGATTATTAAAAAATCCAGTTTCAAACTCTTTTTGCATTTCCCAGGTGTTGGATAGTTTACACCCATTAACTTCTAAACATAACCCCATTTATCCATGAATACTAATTATTTTTATTTACATTTTCATTACAGGTGTTTTTTCCTACAAAGCCCTGTTATATTACTCTTTTATGTATGCTTGTACATGTTTTTTCTAATGATTTAACACTTAAGTTTTAATTATTTTATTATAATGTCTTTTGATCATTCACTTACACATTTTACTATTTACAAGTTCCTGTTATTAACTACTCTAACAATTATCTTTCAGGATAAATATTTTTTATAGTGTCAAATACTGAGAATAGTCGAGCACGCTGTCTACTGACAGCTCTTGTATTGTTCACATTATCTTAAACTATGAGAAATTGATCAGAGCATTTTGATCATTATGTAATTCAAACAATGGCCTTTAAATTTCATGTGCAATATTTGTTCTAAACATTTTCCCAACAACCATTTTGAACCGAAAAGGGGAATTTCTTGGGTTACAACCTAGAAAAGATACTACTACATCTCGGTGTTCAAACACATTTTCAGTAATTATTAAAAAACGAATTGATCAATATAATGTAACTTAAGCCCCATTTACACTTTCCCGGTAACGGCCACGGTATCGCTACGGTGTCTCGGGATGTTCCGTTGTGATTTTTCTGAAAAATCAAATTGCGTTTACACATCCCCGATACAGCCCATGTGTATTCCCGGTTCAGTACCTGATATAGCACCGGATATATACGGTAAGTGCCGATGCTAACCCGGTGTATTCCCAGCGGAGACCCGACTAGACACGGTTTCATCACGGTCCATCCCGACCATCGCTGATTTCGCCACAGTTAAGCTACGGGTGCTGCCGGTACTGTCCCGGTGACGCCCCAGTAGTGCACCGATGCTTCCCGGTTCAAGTGTATGAGAATAAAACTGCTTGACATCAGTTATTTGGTAAAAAGACAGCAGAGATGCCACCAGAAGAAAAGGGGAAAAAAGTTGGGGAATGTTGCTTACAACACCTACAGAGGTTGAGGTACTTTTGGAAACGACTCAGGGAAGGACAGTAAGGAAAGCTCGCCTCAGAAGAAATAGAAGAGAATGGCCCTTCTTCGTCTTCACTTAACAAAATGATCAAAAGTTGAACCTCAAGTAAATTTATTACCTGTTTTTGAAATTGCTTGTTATCGGCATGAGGTCGTGTCGCCACCGTCTATCACCGTTGTATAACCGGGTCTTGTCGGCAATATCCGGGACATTACCGTGTTGTCGCCCATAACCGCAATATACCTTGGCTCTACCGTAGATCTGCCTGTTTTACCGAGGCGACATCGTGTCATCACCGGGGCTCTGCCGTGTTTTGACACTGATTAACACGCATCCCGGTTTACTATCGATGCGGTATAGATGCAGTAGTTCCCGGCGATTCCCGGTGCTAAGCCGGTGAGCCCCGGTTGTATTAAACGTTTTAATACAACCGTGGCGATCTTCCGGTTTGTCCCGGTTTACCAAGGTTTGTCCTGGTACTTCACGAAATCGCCAGGGTCCTACGCCGGTTAAGCACGGTTGACCCCGGTGGACTAGACCGTGGCAAACCGGGACGCCAAATCGGGACAGTGTAAATGGGGCTTTAAGTTAATCAGAAAACACGTGCAACATGATGCATCAGGCTTAAAATAGCCACTGGTTATATAATTATAATTAATAAGCCGTCTGTTGGTGTGTGTAAGGATTACTTTTGACGAAGCATACTGCTAAACTGTATATTTTCCTCGTAGACGGTATAAATTAGCTAATAGACAATGATTTAAAAGCTGATTATTATAATAAAAACTCCACATAATTATCATTTAAAAAGATTGAGGCATGTTCACATATCTTCACCACCTCAATTATGCACATGCAATTTCAGAGAAATGTATGCATACTTTCTAACTAGAATAATTGTGTCTAAATTTGCTTATATTTGGATTTCGTTTTCAGTACAAACCTGTTTTCATACCAATGGAGCATATTTACGTCATATGCATAAATATTCCGTGAATACATTTAAGATATGTTTACTTTTCAAGTCCACAGTAAACTAAGCAATCATAAATAATATTTTCGTAATGCATGAACTTATGTTAACAAGGAAAATTTAAATATTATAAATTTCCCCACCCCTCCGAAATAAAGACAGTATGTAATAAAAATTAACAAACAAAACAGTAAGTAAAACTGAATGCTATTGTACATAAACATAGATATGTTTCTAGAAAAAGAATACTGTTTCTTTTTAATAAATCTTGTGGGAATTGATTTCAATAACAAAATAAGAAGAATATGTTGTAATCTTTTCAATTTTGTTTTTTGTTTTTCATGAGACCAAACGGCTGAGCGTTATAACCTGTTATCTTTAACCATCGTACTATTTGTTTTAGAAATACGACATGACCTATTCTGAAAAATAGTTATTCTGATCTTGCTGTTAGACAAATATTTGTCCTACTTACGCTACCCTCGAGATTTCTCTGGAAAATGTGGTTAAAATTGTTTTGTTATATTGGGTTATTATGATGAGGACATAAAGACCTTTCGTGTATGCTGTACAGAGTTAGATAATGGTTGAAGGCAAACAATTACAATCAATAAAGTTGATATATAAATGATGGTTCAAATGAATACAAAACATCAATTATATTGGAAAAGTTTGGTTCATTTTAGAAGCAATAAAAGCGTTTCTTCTCTTAAGATTGTGAAGGAAAATAAAATAAATGTCAAATCATGAATGAGCCAAATCATTAAATTACCGTTTCCTTGTTTTACTACAAAAAACTATTTAAAACTATCAAGATGTCTAAAGTATTGAGTAGAAAGTCATTAATATACAATGTATTACTGGTATTCCGTGTTGTGTGACAAAGTTTCGTGTCGTTTTAAGTTTTCAATACAGACAATTTCAGAATGTGGCAAGTAAACAGCAACTGATACTGTTTCTCTTAAACGCGTTAAAACGTGCGTAGATAATATTCAGATTTGTTTTGAAAAAAATGTGTATTACTAGTTTTATTGCTCTGACCAAAGTGTTTCTGTAATTATTTTCATTTTGAGTCATATTCGTCAAATTATTTACGAAAGACCAATTATGAAAGCTTATTCATGTTTTCTTTTTCAAAATTTAAGAACAAACTCCCTCCAAATATCGACTATCAGGCTACGCATTAAAAACACGTCCTAAATTTAATTGTGTATATATTTACCGTTACAAAAGTAACATACGATATTAATAATATCTGTCATATTTTGCGGTTCGGATCGGAATATCCGTCTCGAGGTGACCCGCCCATTGGGCAGCAACGAGGCTTGCCGAGTTACCGCCCATGGGCGGGTGACCGAGGGACGGATATTCCGATCCGAACCGCAAAGATATGTCAGATGTTTTTCTTGCATATTCTACCATATTCGATTATATTTTAAATTCTTTATCTTTATTTTCAATGAAAATTTATATCATTACAACCGTAACTACTTTCGTACATCAGCGTATGAATAACAACTTCATTCATAATGGTAAAATGACATCATCCTAACCGTGCCATTGTAAAGCACGCGACTCATCTGGAACCCCCCCCCCATGCCAGATGAAATTTCCGGCATGGGTAAAACTCACGGAAACGCCAGTCTGATATGCAAGAAAAAGAGTTTAAACTATGGTAGAATATGCAAGAACAGATTTCTGACATGTTGAGTTTTAGATTGGAATATCCGTCTCTCTCGAACCCGCCCATGGACGGTAACTGTGGCTTATCATTTCTCTTCTCATCTTTACATAAATTTTGTATATTAAGTATCAAAATGATTAATGAATATCTGATACCAGCCGATCACTACCGACACATTACAGCATTACTATAAATAATCATTACCGACACATTACAGCATTACTATAAATAATCATTATCCTTTTTTTTGGAACCGCGTTTAAGGTCCGTTTATAATCATAATCCTTATATAAGTGTTGATGACCGTCATAAGAATACAATTAATGCTCATGTTATTGAGTGTTTGTTTACTTGGTTGCTTTAAGTTTATCTCGTATTATGAAGGCTAAAGTTCTATATATTTAAAGGTTAATCACCTGTTGTACTATAAAAATAGAAAGCAATGAACGTTTATAAACGAACTTTAATAATAAAGATGTTTTTACGAGATAAATGACTTCCGATTTAAATAATTTTCCTGCTGGAGATATACTGCTTGAAAAGTTATTAACCATAAAAGTACAACAGCCTCTAGATAATTGCTATTTGAAGTGACAATTTAGAAAGTATTCTTGACAGTATAATAATGTTCATATGTACAGATAGAGAGTTTTAAGGTAAAACATAAACATAAATCACTTATCATTCCCAAAAATACATATAACCTATAACGGGTAAAGAAATGCTTGAAATAATCACTAATATTTCATCTTTATTTAGTGGACAGATAAAAATGATAATAAAACAGAAA